GGGGGCTCTGCAACGGCCAGAGAAGCAGGCCCTGGCGGTAGCGAGGAGCCACGATTGGAATAAGGCCTCTTGCGAACCGGGGCTTTGGCTCCCGCGAAACGACGTCGCGACGGCAATTGGGCTTCGTGAATGGACAGAAGCGTTACGCGGACGCGTGAGATTCTGTAGGCGAAGATATGGAGTACATGTAGGCAGATGCAGGTTGAAGCGGGACAGAAATCCATGGCTGGGAAGAAGAGGGGCTGCTGGTGGATGCTGATGGGCAGCAGATGCTCATGAAACGTCCCAGCGAGCAGGAGGAGAGAGACGGCGCGTACGAGTACAGCAAAGATCTGTCCCGGGTTGTCTTTCCTCTCGGTGAGCGGATCTTCTTTCGGCCTCTTTTCGAACGATTGTGTAGTGACAGGGGAAGCCTCTTGTAGACATCCATGGATTTGTTGACAACATGAATGAAGAATGATGACGAGAGTCGAGAGCCGTGCAGCATCCATGGATTCAAGATTCAAGGTAGCGCACCTCGTTTAGCGGCTGCAGCACCCTCCAGCTGCCACCCAGCTCCTACAGGCCCCTAGCGCGCCTCTGTGACGTTTTCCCCGGGCCGTCCAGCCACTAAAGCAGCGGCGCAACCAACCGTCGAGGCATCAGGCTTTCTCCCAGCCGCTGTCTTTTCTCTTTCCGCCCCTCCCAAACCCTGGAGGGGTCCATCCAACTGACCAGCCGGCTCTTAGCAGCCCTGGTCTGCCGCTATCTCGTCGTTGCTCCAGGTAAACAATCCGCCAGGCTGGATTTTCTCGTGCTCACGCTCACAGCAGATCACAGCACTGGAGCTCTTTTTATCCGTCTTGTCCACCCCCACTTGCTCGTAGCCACCAAAACCTCAATTCAAATTTAATTTCGCCTGGCCCATGTCGAGGCTACGCCTCCTGCTCGATCTCGTCAAGAACACGCGACGACTCGATCCCGCCTTTGCTTAATTGGAGAGCCAAACGGCTGTGCGGCGTGTGTTTTTGTGATCTGGAGCCCGGCGTTTGTTTCTCTGTGGTGTTTGTTGTCTTGGTTAGTCGAATCCCGCTAGGACCCAAAAGAGCGCTGAGATGCTCCCCTTCATCTCACTCTCTGGCCCCTTTTCCCAATGGCTGGGCAGAGGGGCTCGTTGCCGTCGCAAGATTAACGAATTGCTTCACCTGCGGCGGCATTGTCGAAGTGGCGACGAGTTTGGATCTAACATGTTGGCTAGGTTTCGTTTGTTTCCTGTTTCCGGTCACGAAATAGTTTTCACCACGGTTTCCCATGGCTTTCTCGATGCGCTCATAGACCAAAGGCGACTGCAATTCTTCACATTTCAGCATCTGCGCAGACTCTATACCACACAGCGTCCCATCGAGCTAGATCTTCACCGAGGAAACTAATCGACAGGCATGAGCGCGCCGCCACCACCTCCGCCGCATGGCGAGGTGCCCAAGTCGTCGGGTTCGGGTCTGCCTCCAGGGAATTACGACATATTCGTCATTCCCCAGCACTCGTCAGGCTCTGGCTTTCTGTACCTGCCGTCGATGCAACCGAACGTCAATAGTTTCGTGGCAGGCTTTGCCTCCGCGCTGATATGTGTTGCCCTGTTCCAAGCCGTGGCACCGGCCGTGAAGCTGTGGATTAATGGCTCCAGCATAGGAGGTACGGGCTTAACCACGCTCTTGTTGGGGGTTGGCATTGGAGCCTGGGCCCTGGGCCGGATGCAGACCGGTGGACCGGCACCTGCGTCCAGCTCAGGCGATAAAGGCCAAGGCGGAGGATTCGGTAACGGACATGGGCCTCACGGCGCAAATGGCGGACACGGTGGCTTCGGAGGCCCAAACTCGGGAGGGCGAGCAGACCCCAATGCGCCGCCTCCACCCCCTCCTCACGGTCGTTCTGCCGATGGGGCACCTCCTCCTCCACGCCATGATCGATCACAGGGAACCTGGAAGAATGCGGATGCCCAACCTGAAGAGACACCGCGGCCGCCTAAGCATGGATCTGAGCCGGCCTCGTCGCCTTCTCACCGCTCACCATCTCAAAAAGGCCCACCACCTCCAACCCCCAAATCACCACTGGACACCGAGAAGCAACGCCAGCGCCAGCCTGCGCCATCGGAGGAAAAGCCGGCTCCTGAGGTAGAGAAGCCAAAGAAGAAGAAGAAGAAGGCACCGCCTGCAGAAGAGAAGAACCCAGTCCCAGAATCTGAAAGGGCGCCTCTGAAATCTGAGCTGAAGCAGCCTGGCTTTGAAAAGATGTCTCCGGTGTTTGGGAGAAACTCCCCAGAACTTGAGAGGAAACGACCCTCCTCGCCAGAAAAGAAGTACCCTCCACCAGCAGAGTCAAAACCGTCCATTTCGCTGGAAAGGAAAAAGAGCGTGCCTGAGCTAGCAAAGATACCCGACTTTGAAAAGAAAGCGGCTCCTGGCTTAGAGAAGATGACAGCAACACCTAAAGCAGCGTCGAAGCTACCGCGCATGCCAGACCTGGCACCTATCCCCCCATTTCGACCAGATCCCCGACCAGAGAAGCAAACACCTCTCAAGCCAGACACTTCCGTGCCGACTGAGACTAAGCAACAACCACCGCCTCCTGAGCCCAAGCTCGACCAAAATCCGCCTCCTCAGCCGGACATGAAGAAGGCTGAGACACCGAAAGGAACGTGGGAGAAGGCGCGCGAAGAAATGAGAAAGAAGGAAGAAGACAGGAGGCTTAAAGAAGCGGAACAAAAGCGTCGCGAAACAGCTGCCAAGAAGCTGCTCGAACTGCGTGCCAAGGAAGCAAAGGAGCGGCAGGAGCGCGAGAAGGAGAAGCTTCAAAAGGAGACAGAACAGCAGGCAAGAGAAGAGGCGGAGAGGCATGAGGCAGAGCGGAGGCGCAAACAAGAAGAACTGGAACTGGCTAGGCAACGAGAAAGGGAAGCGAGAGAAAGAGAAGCGATAGAGAAAGAAGCCAAGGTGTTGGAAGCCAGGGAAAGGGAGGCGAAAGAGCGAGAGGCGAGGGAAAGGGAGGCGAGGGAAAGAGAACAGCAACGAAAGAGAGAAGCTGAAATCAAAGCAGCAGCTGAAAAGAGAGCTGCAGCAGAAGCCAAGGCGGCTGCGGAGGCCAAAGCTGCGACAGAGGCCAAGATTATTGCTGATGCCAGAGCCGCAGTCGAGGCGAGAGCTGCAGCTGAGGCCAAAGCCGCCGCAGAGGCCAAGGCAGCTGCTGAAGCAAAGGCTGCCATGCCAGCAAGTCGAGTCGGCAGCACCGCCTATGCATACTCCAGCGTTGGCGAGAAGACGGCCATGTGGCCCAACGGCCGACCTCCTGCACCCCCTCCTCCATCGACCTCATCCCCCTCCGTGGTCTCTTCGGCAACCTCTAGGATGTCTGACGAAAGCGACCGAACAGAACGGACAGAACGAACAGAGAGGTCGGAGAGATACGAGAGATTCGACAGAGGTGAGAGCCCTACAAAGCGGCCACCTCCCGCTGCTGCCCCGTCTGAGGCTCCTTCGTCCGCTTCGAGGAGATCAGACCCCTCGGCAAGACGATCAATGCCCACTCCGAAGTCATATGTTAGTAGCAACAGCAGCTATGTAGAGTCGGAGACGTACTCTTACCGGCCATACGACCAACCAAGCAAGCCACAACCGCAACATCAGCAACACCAGCAACCACCACCATACGATCAGACACCACCTAACAAGCCGAGACATAGGAAGTCGACATCATCTCTCACAGGATCCGACGCATCGTGGGCGGCCTCTCAGACAACAGCTCGAACGACACCACCGCCCTCGATCCGATCTCCCTACACGACTAATGATCCTGACAAGGTTGTGATCCAATCCGTGTATCTCTTCATGAACCAGTTCACAAAGACGCCATCCAGCCAGCTCATATCAGGAGTTGGCACGGTGACAGACGGCTTGGTTCTTCGAATCACAACCGAGGGACTCTTCATTGACGACGACGTTCGCGGAGTCCCCCAGCGCGAGTGGGACGTCAAGGCCTGGACACTCAAACTTGTCGAGGTGTGGTGCCTGCCACACTGCTTGACTGCACCGCCGCCATCAGCAGGATCTACCGCTAGTAAAGGCTCCGGCTTCCTTCACAAAATGGCTGGCAGAAGCCGCTCAGATCGGGATGGTCCCGCCGCTTTTACTGGTACTGAGGCTGATCTGTATCTATCAGAGATGCTTCACGCCTGTAGAGAGTGTTGTCGTCTCGGCCTCTGCGACCGTACGTTCAAGAACACCAACATTCCAGCGTCGACGGGACAGACTGGGGAGTGGAAATCCAAGGGCCTACATGTCCTTCGGGCGACACTTCGCGACCAAGAAGCCAAAAGCTACCTCTTTATTGTTGAGGAAACCGAGGGCTGGAAACTTGCGGTTGGACTACAACGGCTGAGACGCGGCACCCAAGTCCGCCAATTAGGCGTTGCTAGTTTACCACCTTCCGAAGCTCGTGGCATGCTGGAAACGTTGGGCTGGGTTGCGTAATGGATCGATCTTTGCGAATCCAGAGACGGGAAAGGATATGCATGTTGAGTAGAAAATGCATCTACCTGCAAAGAAAACATAACGGGAGGTCAGAGCGTCAGCTGGAGGATGAAGGCTTTTATACGTGGGTGTAATGTGTTGGTATTTCACTGGAATGGAAACGGCATTGTTAGGTGAGACTGAGGCTCTGGTGAGGGAGGATAAGGGAAACAGATGTGAGTGTTTGGCGTCACAACATTCCTTTTAACATGGCCTGGCATATTTCTCACAGACAGTTTGGATCCTGGTAGATTCAGGCCACGAAGGACACGAAAAAATACCCCAATGAAGATATTGCTAGTACAACTATATACCAAACTTGAATATATAATACCACTCTTTCACTATGACTAATTGCAAAACTGAAATGCAGAATGAATTTCGCGCTATCACAAGTACCTATTACCTCGCATGAGATGAAACAAAAGGGTATCAAAATGCCCCCCCCCTCCCGCCGCTGAAAACCACCATGACCTCGCTATATATCTAACTGATATATAACACAAAAGCTAGCTCGAACATGACTATAAAGTGACTAAACAGGCTCATACGTATGCTGAACACTAATATACAAATCCAAAACAACAAAAGACGACACTGACTAACCGTGAATAAAAGAACGAAAACCCACTCCCAAAACGACACCCCTTTCTCTCTACGCCTTCGAAGCCATGCAGTATCCATCAGGCAACACCTACTTATACATCTATATACAGTCTATTTACAAATTCTAAGCACGCTTATCAGTAATATCCCAAACCTCGACGTCACCGCTGATTCTTCCAAGGACCAGAACGCTTCCGTCAGTAGAGAAATCGGCAGACGTGACCAGGGGGCCACCATCCTGGGTGCAAATGACGGCGCCAGAGGCCGCGTCCATGATGTCGAAGCCTTCCTCGGTCCAGCTCGCGATGTAGCGGCAGTCAGGGGAGATGCTCAGGGGCCAGCCCTCGCAGGGCCGCGTGCTGGAGAGGCTGTACGAGGTCAATTGGCCGTGCTGCGGCATCCAGATGTGCACGACGGAGCCCCAGACGGAGACGATGGTGGTGCCGTCGGGGGAGACGGCCAGGGCACGCGGGTTCTTGGACGTCTCCATCTCGAGCTTGTAGAGCGTCTTGCTGGTGCGAGGATCCGTGACGCGGAGAGTGCCATCCCGCGAGAGGCTGACCAGCGCTGAGTCAGGGGCAAAGGCGACGTGGGTCACGGTGTCGATGTGGCCCGGCACGCGGCCGATGCGGGTCCCCGTGCGGACGTCCCACAAACCGATACGGTTCCGGGGTTCAGCAGCGGCGATGGCCCGGCCGTCGGGAGACCAGGCAATTGGAGCAGCGACTTCCTTGAGTTCGAGGACGGTCTTCCCAGAGGCGAAGTCTCGGACCATGAGAGACAGCGTCGACGACAGCGTGGCGATGCGAGGGAACGGCAAAGCGGACGAGGACGACGCCAAGGCCGAGGCCGAGGGCTTGCCGACGCGCAGGGGGGACGAGTGCAGCGAGGGCGAGAAGCTCGCGACGGGGCCAATGATCTTGGAGTAGCCACGCTGGGTGGCCAGGTCGAAGGTGTCGATCCAGGGCTGGTCGGCCTGGGCGCCGGGGAAGATTGCGTAGGCGACGGTGGACGAGGGGGAGATGCCCACCGCGGTGATTTCGGAGCGGGAGGCGGGGCGGGTGTAGCGGAGGGTGAGAGAGATGGAGACAGAGGGGAAGGGGGGAGGAGGTGACGGAGAGGGCGCGGGAGACCTGGATTTTGTGGTTCGTTGGCATTTGTCGATGAAGGCATTGGCGGTGATGAGTTGGTGGAAACACTTACATTTTGGCGAATGTGAGTCAGGGCTTTATGGGTAATTGAAGATGAACAACGACGGTGACAATGATTATGTGAATTATTGGATTCGATTTAAGAGAAAAATGTTTTTATTCAATTTGTTTCTGTCTACTCCTCCCACTCCTCCCCAACGAGGTCAAAGTCATCAAGAGGAGCAGCCCGCCGTCTATTTATCCCATCCCGCCCTTCCAAAGTAAACAACCAACCCCATGTAACGGCGGGACCAGTCATCTTGCAGCTCCTATCGTCGGCACCTTCTGCTGACAGAGCCAATTTGGAATAAGTACAGCCTATCTAACTGAGCCATTTCTCTTTAATTTCTCCACATTTGTTCGTACGCTAGCCCGAGTTGTGATACGAACGGTTCTAGAGTCTTTGACGAGGGAATCAAAACCAACGGAACTCGGCTACAACGGCTTGCTAGACTCAGCAAGAAAAGCATCATTTCAATCAATCAATCAACTGAATCAAGGAAAACAATATTAGATGCTCTAACATGTTATACGCAAAAGAATAGTTATAAGCTGTTATTGTAATTAACTAGCCCCACAAACCAGCCCAATCCGTCTCGCCGGGCCATTTACACGTATTCCCCCGGAGAGAGAGAAGCTAAAGGGCAAAATTGCCTATTCGGGCAAGTTTCTTTTTTCCTTCTTTCGAACCGGCCATCTCAGAAAGGAGATTTTCAGCGTGACTCACGCGAGCCCGACATTGCGAGAAACTACAGCGCCGATGTTCAGCTTTGTCTTGTTAGGCTTGTGGGGGAAAAACCCAATTCAACGTTGTTCGGCGAGATGGATGAGGTTTAGTTGGGGATTAAGCTTAAATCGCTAGTTGTCTTCGTGATTCGAGGGCGTGAGTGGTAAATGAGGCTGCTTGGGTAAGCCGAGCTGGCCGAGCTGGCTTTGGCCGAGCCGAATGTGGCAGTAATAGCCTGACCCTGGTGTTATTGGTATTGTTTTCGGTGGCGTCATTGATGCTTGGGTCAAGGTGATTACGTGAAACAGCGATTGATGTGTTACAAAGCTGTTTTCTCAGTAATCAGGCACAACTTACTAATAAGGAAGGGCTGTTATCGGCTTCGGGGTCTCTGCTCGTCATTGAGAGAAGTGGAGACGTCGGCTGCCCATCAAGGTTCTATCACAGCTTCACCCGCGTGTATTAGTGGTAGGAAGAATGCGGTATATTCCAACGTCAAGTGGCTTTTACTTCTTTATTTCTTTTTTCTTCTTCTATTAATTTTTGTTCTATACTCACGTCCTATTCACACATTAAGCACCGAAAGCCTCCTCATAGTTGACCATGCATGATCTGTATCGCACGCTCGAATCTGCCAGTCTGTTCATGGCCTGCTGCAGACCCTCTTTGGAGATGGGAATCTTCTCTACCCAAGAGTGAATACCCTTGGATGCTGCCAGATCCAGCATCTCCAGCATCTCTTTGCGGCTGCCCAGATGTGAGCTGCCGATGAAGCAGCCGTTTCCGAGAAAGTCTTGGTTTCGGACGGAGACACCCTCACCACCGGGAAGACCGACTGAGTTCCATCGGCCGTGGACGTCGAGCAAGCTAAGGTATTCACCCAGAGCAAAGCCCTCGAAGGAGTTGGCAGTGTTGATGATGAGATCAAATGTCATCTCGTGTCCCTTGGTCCAGTCCTTCTCTGATGTTGCCAGGAAGCCATCAGCTCCCATCTTGCGAGCATCCGCCTCCTTGGCTCGGGTTCGAGAGATGGCCCAGGTCTCGGCGCCCAGGGCCTTGGCAAACATGATGCCGTAGTGGCCCAGGCCACCAATGCCCACAACACCGACCTTCTTGCCCGGGCCGGCACCGAAGCGCTTCAAGGGGCTGAAGACGGTGATGCCGGCGCACAGCATGGGAGCGGCGTCGGCACTCTCTAGAGCTTCGGGGATAGGGTATGTCCTACGTCATCATTCGAATCAGCCTTCTAGGTCATCGAATAGAGATTAAGGTTCTGACAGCCACTCACCAGTACTCGTGGATTCTAGAATGAGAAGAATAGCCTCCCTGGGTTGTGTAACCGGTGTCGAGGTATGGGGCGCCGTAGGCATCGATCTGGTGCTTGCAGTACGTCTCGTTCTCGTTCTTGCACTGGCGACACTCCAAGCAAGAGTACACCTGCGCACCAACACCGACTCTCTGGCCGACCTTGGCCAGCGTCACCTTGGGGCCAACGCGGATGACCTTGCCAACGACTTCGTGTCCCACGGCCAGAGGGTAGGGGCAGTCGCCCCAATCGCCGCTGATGGTGTGGCGATCACTGGCACAGACACCACAGCATTCTGTCTTAATGTCGACATCATAGTCGCCAAAGGGTCTGGGCTCCCATGAGCCCTTCTCAAACTCGAGCCACTTGCCAGCGCTGGGCGACTGGAAGCCGGTAAACTTGTCAGGGACTGCCATCTTGAGCTCTTTTTTTGCTGTATGGATGGAGGAGCTGTAACAGGTCTGTCGAGACGGTATAAAGGCAAGCTTATCGAACAAGAAGCTGATTACAGGAAAAAAGAGAACAACCAAAGCAATCACTAGCTGGTGAGGGGGAGATCCTGGCAGTTATAATTGCCCAATTCTCGGGTCATCGTTCTGCCTCTTGTCTACCCCACCATCATCATATGAGGGGCAGCCACTGCTTCACTTTACCCGCGCCATTCTCAGGCGTCTCCGCGCAGAAACAGTGACGAGATAGTCTCTGAATATTTGCGGATGAGGAGCCTCTAGACCCTCACAAACCCCCACCTTTGGAGGCGAAGAGGCGTATCTAGCCCATTTCCGTCGCCGATACCGCGAGATAATCCGGCGAATGTCCGATTGTTCCACCAAAGAGAGCTCGCGATAAGCCGATTGCCGTTGATGACTTAAGCAGACGTCACAACCAACGGGTCAGTCGATGCCGAATGAGTGCCGAGTTCTTCACCTCGTGAGAGCTCTTGTGGTTTCAAGCTCAATGCGATTCGGGCCCGGATTCCGAATCTAGTGCTTGATTCATGTTGTCAAGATATTGAAATCTCTCTTGGCGCCTGCATCCTCCTCTTCGTAGCTACTTGAACACCTGATGCCTTCTCGTAAAATGTGCCTCTATAGCCTCTCTTTTCGGGTCTCATCGGCCGTCCTCACAGCCCAACCCCTGCCAGGAAACACAACCTCAGCGTCGCCCCCGCGTAAACCCAAGGCACGTTGCCAATATCGCCAGCATTCCAACCCGTGACATTGTAGTATATCTCGGGACCCAATTCTTTCATCGAGTATAAGTGTCCAAAGTCAGCGATTAAGAGAACTAGCAAAACCGCTCGCCACACGCGCAGATCCCGGGTAGACCGGAGCACAAGCGCCTCGTTGATGGCGAAGAAGAAGTACATGTTTGCAAGCTGCGACATGGCCACGGAAGTGCCCCGCGAGACCTGTGCAGGTGCCGTCGCCCTGTCCAGGAGCTCGAGATAGCGCTGCTGGCGGAAATGGGTGTAGAAGGCTCCGACTAGAGCGGAAATGGGCTCTAGGAAGAGAAAGAAGAGGCGGTATGCAAGGGGGAAGCGAAAACTTAGTTGCGCTGGCGCCATGATGCCGTATCGTGAAAAGAAGATGTTTCGGTCAAGGTCAATGCAGAGCCAAAGCAGGCGGACGTGTGAATTGTCCAAGTTCCAGGCCTGCCGCCATTGCGCTGCGATTGGCTACTAATGGTCTTTGAGCATATGTAAGTAAGCCGTTGCGGTGACCTCGCACTGCTGTACGTTGGCTGTCATCCTGAAGCAGATGCACGTCGTCCCAACTCTACTGCCGAGAAAAACGTGGCTGAATCATCTTTTCTTTGTATCTTTGTTAGGTTCACCAGGGATGGGACGACGATCATTGCCTTGTCTTGTCCAGGGGCAGTGTCTCTCAGTTGTCTCTCATTCATCTTCCAGCCGCCTGGTTAGATGAGGGCTGTGATACTTGAGTCTCACGAATTTATTATCCAATGCCGAGCAGGCCATTATTGTAAGCGTAGTAAGAATCCATTGAAACATCCATAAAAAAAAGCATCTTCCATAACATGACTATTTTTATCGTCTCGTCTCATCTTTCTTGTCACCCATCCTGCATGCACTATTGAGACATGCCTGTTGGGTCATGGCCAGTTGTCTTCTGTCCACCCGCGGTCTTGGCAGGCACACACCACACCGCAAGGTACAAACTGAGAGCGGCCATCTCTTTCTGCTCGCTCTGTGGCGAATGGTGCTTCGAGAAGCTAGCAAAATCTGAAGTAGAAGCGCACAGTCTCCACGGAGATCATCACAGCTGTCCAATCCCAGCTGCAGCGGCCAAGACAAAGCGATGCCCGGAAGACCCGCGGGAGAAGGACGAGAATCCAATGGCTTGCCAGCAAACAGAAAAAAGGAACAAAAAAGAGCTGACTAGCGACCCGTAATTTACGGACACTCCGCTTCAGATCGCACCTAAAAAGCACAAGTGCTGCGAAGACCTGATCGCTGCCGCTGCTAGTGGCTTGTACTTGTACTTGTGCTTTTTTTGCCATTGATACTACTGCGAGACAGAAAACTTTTACGCCTCGGCGTGTGCTCGCGCTTCTAGCTCAGTCATTTTCGAGAGTTGTCGACGTAATGTCCTTTAGAACTGAAACATGGGCTCTTTGCGACGGATGCCGGCAAATGACTTGATTCACCTGGTGACAACTGAGATGTGATGATGTGTGGTGCTATTATTATTACTGTGCTCACCAAAGGTCAAGACGGCGCGGCATGACCATGACCATGACCAGCATGCACAGGTCATCAGGGGCATCCCCAGAGTCCGGATGCTTCTCTCCACTCTGCTCCGTAGTTTGAGATAGTCTAGTGCTAGTAAGGGTCAGTGGAACAAATCCGGGGCATTGATCTCAAGGGATGTTACGGATACCTGCACTTGTTCTCGATGATTGATTGACCAGTGGCTGTGGCTTCGATGCCATTCAGTGAACATGAAGCATCAGGTACCTGTACCTATACACGCCATGTCGTGGCATCCCTCCCCCAGGGGCAAGCCTCAACGCCGCCAGAATTTTTTTTCTTCCTTACAGGGTCTCCGGCAAATGGTGGGCAATCTGTCCATCCCTCCAAGTCTGTGCGGGCTGCGCCGTACATGCACTAACACAGCCCAGTAATATGCCCGTATTAGTGACAACCAGAGTAGATACCGCTATCGGTCCCCTTGTTTTTTTTTTGGTCCTGCTACTTTACGTCCTATCGCAACACTGTTTCTTCGCTTCCTCTCAACCACTCTCCTTTTCCCCTCGTCCTCATTTCCATCTCCTCGCCGCCTCTTCGACTGCTCAGCAGGATCCTGCGTGGCCTCCTAGCCGTCGTGTTTCATTTCATTCCCGCTAAAATCGAAACGGGACCCTCCGGACACACGCACGAGGCATTGTCAGCCGCCGCGTGGCGCCCATCACCAGCAAGACCGCCTTGCTCTGAATCTTTCTGCATTCCAATTTCCAGCCCGAGTTTCCAACTCTCACAACCACTCTTGCTTGTCGATATTCCATTCCCGCTCCTTGGAGGCTTTGTGTCATCTTTCTCTTTCTGTTTTGCCGTCTATTCGTTGCTCGCGTTTGTTGGATCCGCTGGTGTTTCAGCACTCCATCTCGAGACTAGTCAGTCGTCCTTCCTTTGCCGACGAGCAAGACGAAACTCCACCGAGGCTCTTCCACTTCGACCCCGTTGATCAGCAATCATTTGACGAGCCTTTTCGTGTTCGACAAATTCCTTTCTGCGGCCTCTCATTCGCCTCTCATTTTCTCGATCCGAGTTAATCTTCCTATCACGAGCCCGAACGTTTACGGCCAACAGTCGCTGCGTTCGAATAGTGGTACGATTTGTCTGCACTACCACAAAGACGTCTTTCAAGCCAAGATTCTTCTCAAGCAGACACAATGGCGGACCAGTTCCAGTCCTACAACATGGGGGCATCTGCTGGCAATCGGGCCACCGGTGCCTCATCCAACCAATCCCATGACCAGCGCATGCGTAGCATGAGCCTCTCCAATCTCCTCCGAAACCACAAACATGCCGTCTTTTCCCACGACGATCCGCACCCGCCGCGCCAGATTCACGAAGTCGCCATCGACGATTCGGAAGACACGCACGAACTTCCTTCTCGAAAGCGCCGTGTTCGTGCTCAGAGCACCGCCGGCACCATCAAGGGCGTGATTCGTCGGGCCTCCTTATCCCTCAAAGGCATGGTTCATGTTCATCGTCGGCCATCCATCACAGCCGAGCCCTCTGAATTCAACAACCAGCCTGTCTCCCATGCCAGACCGACGAGCGCCCACCACACGTGGAACCGTCTTCGCCACGCCGCGCCCTTTCGCCGGTCGAGGTCTTTCTACGGTTTTAATGTTACCGATGATGGCCTCTACGAGCAGCAGCAAAACCCTCACATGCCTATTCCCGCAATGGGAGACGAGCCTCCGTATATTCCCATGAATACCGGCGCTGCCGCAAAGGCCTCAGTGGCGTTGCAGAACGAATACTATACTAGACAAGCTATGCACACCCAGTGGCTGCAGTCGTCGAGCGAGGATAGCAACGATCGCGAGAGCGGAATCGGCATCGTCGTCACCCAGCCCTTTATTGAGTCGGGTCTCAGCGATGACGGATCCGTCCTTGCTCAGGATAGCAACATTAGCAGGGTCGACTTTATCAAGCAGCTGCCATCCGAACTCGCCATCCATGTCTTGGCTTGCCTTGACGCCGCCGCTCTGGCCAAAGCGAGTGTCGTCTCTAGACACTGGAATGAGGTGGTCCGCAACCAACATATCTGGAGAGAATCTTGCCTACGGGAGATGACCACCACTTATGCTACCAGTGAGCCTGTCAAGCCTGGCGCTGGCTTGGGCATTCCCGAAGTTGTTCCCACCAACGATTGGAAGCAGATCTATCGTGCCAAACTTGAGCTGGCTCAGAAGTGGAAGGAGGGCAAGGCTCGCCCCATGTACCTTAACGGACACATGGACAGTATCTACTGTCTACAATTTGATGAGTATGTTCTGCTCACACTGCACCCCTTACTCCTTTCCCCCTCCTACATTGTCTTGATTTGACGTATTTACTGACCTCGTCTCAGGTATAAAATCATTTCTGGCTCCAGAGACAAGACCATCAGAATCTGGGACATGCAAACCCTGGAGTGTCGCCTGGTCATCGGACCTCCCGAGGTGGTCAACCACCCCATGATGTTGGAAGATGCCGAAGGCAATCCGACTCATTATGTCAACTTTTCTGACAGCTATCGGGCGTCGCCCTCGATGCCAAAGGTGGCTTCCTTCGATGAGCATCACAAGGCTTCTATTTTGTGCTTGCAATATGACGAGGAGATTATGGTGACCGGCTCATCGGATTCTACGTGTATTGTGTATGACATGCGCAATGGCTATCGTCCGATTCGCCGTCTCACCCACCACACCGCTGCTGTTCTCGACTTGGCCTTTGACGAAAAGCACATTGTGACCTGCAGCAAGGACATTAGCATCTGTGTTTGGGACCGGGCGACTGGTAACCTTCTCCGCCAGCTCCGCGGCCACACCGGCCCCGTCAATGCCGTCCAGATGCGTGGAAACACCATCGTGTCATGCTCTGGAGACTTCCGGGTCAAGCTGTGGAACATTGACACTGGAAGAAACATTCGCGAATTCGTCGGCCATACCAAGGGCCTGGCTTGCTCTCAGTTCTCCGAGGACGGTCGATACGTCGCGTCGGCAGGCAACGACAAGGTGATTCGCATCTGGGACGCCAACACGGGCGAGTGTGTCCGCGAGATGCGTGCGCACGAGAACCTAGTACGCAGCTTGCACATTGACAGCGTGAGCGGGCGTCTGGTCAGTGGCAGCTATGACACAGACATCAAGGTCTGGGACATGGAGACGGGCCGCCAATTGCTCGACTTCCCTCGATGGCATGCCAGTTGGGTCCTTAGCGCAAAGAGCGACTATAGACGCATTGTCAGTACCGGACAGGATCCCAAGATTCTCATCATGGACTTTGGCGCAGAGGTGGAGGGTATCGACATGTTGAACAGTGCCAATACCGGCATCGGCGGCAACATCTTTTAACTAATATATGCATCCGGACCGACTCCAGGGACCATGCTCAGCTGTGGGACCATTGAACGTCACGTCGCCCGCCGGTATTACGGGATTGATGCACACTATCGGCCTTGATCTTTTTTTTTTCCTTTGCAATTATTATATGTCATTTTGCTGTTTCCATCACGGCAATGGTCGGCGAGGTGAAGTGATCAGCGTGCATTACGCTCATCTTGGCCTTTTCATTCGACATCATCTTCTTTTACGACTGGCTTTCTATATCGGCTCCACCCCTTGGTGAATAGACTATTTTGGGCATACAGATGCGATAGAATGGGCATTGTTTGGCATTTGACTTGGCACTGGGCCTTCCAACCTAATTCTACGGTGGCTGTTGGACAAGCGTCGAATTCTTATGAAGCAATCTTTCACTGTCCTTTCTTTTTAACAGTCAGTCATAGTCATGCAAGAGCATGTTTGACAAGACATAGACATGCAGATATGGGATTTTTTTTTGTTTTTGTTTTAAGGGAGCGAGCGGTTCAGGAAACGGAAAACAACTTGGGGGATTTTTCGATTAGTGGCGCGCGAAGAAACATATAGACGAGCTATGCAACAGGGACATTTTGTTTTTTGCAACGGGGTTGGGAATGGGATAGCTATGTTTGTGTTTTGTTGATTTTATTAATTTAACGAATTCCTTTTTCTTTCGATGGCTTGACAAGACTACTATTCCTCTCTACCTCTGCTCCCACGCGATTAGTTGGTCATTTTGTGGTGGCTTAGGTCTAGTAGTCTTGGGTTACAGTGTTACATGATGCCAAGTGCAGTAGTATCATGGCGACGGGTACTGGCGAATGAATGGCAACGCAACCCTCATTTTGTATCGGGGAGAAGAGAGAAGCTTTTCTTTCAGGCGCCTTGGCACGACCGTTTTCTCTCTTCTTCGTGAGGGAGGGAGGGGGTGTGTGGTAAATAAGGGATCAGCGCCCGAGTACGACGTTGAGAAAAAAGTTATATCCCTACCCAGCTGCGTAAAAAGGGTAACATGTTCGTACTTAAGTCTGGGTAGCAGCCTCTTGTGGGAAAGGGGCCTTTTATTCAGTGGAGGCAGTGGGATTCGAAGTGCCGAATGGGAATGCCTGTGTATGACGATTATTTCCTCTTTGTAAATTGGTAGAATCGGGGTTGAAAAAGAAAGAAGAAGGCGGAGGAAACGAGCCGAGGAGGGACCGGTGCGGGTGGGAGGGTGTTTTTTTTGATCTGGTGATCTAGTGAACATCTGGGTGTGTATAAACTGGCATGGGGGGGAGGAAGGGGATGTTTGTTTGGCTTTTCGGAGGACGGAGTTGGATGGAGAGGTTTTGTCATGCCTCTGGATGCGGGTATGGCCGAGTTAGTTTGTGGGGTGGGATGGGATTGTGTGGGGTGCTTGAGGAGGGAAAAAAAAACATGGGGATGGAGTTGGTGAGATTCTGGGGATTGAAGAGCACGTGTTGGGATGGTATATGATTGTGGTGATTTTTGTGGGATTAGAAATGGGGATGAGCTGGGGTTGGTGTATCTGTAATCTGTATGCCGACTGAAGGACTTGACAGATCAATTGTTGATTTACTTTTACATGCAAATTTACGAGTACGAAGAGAGTTGAGAGTTGACAACTCAGGTACAGCACGCGAGTTTAAACACTAAAGTCTAAAAGGTAGCATCAAACGTTCGTAACAAGATGCACCGAAAACTCTTCACCTGCGGCATAATTCACGGTAACAAGGTCGACTGTCGGGACCATTCCCCGAACGAACACTACCTCGACTTCACATGCAATGTCAGTAGGCGCCATGCAAAAAGGCATCATCCCACAGCCCCCGTGTCAGCTCGGTTCTTTCATATAAACGAGACTTGCGCCATTATTCCTCCGCTGCAAGCGCAATTCGGCAGTGGTGACAAAGCATATCGGATAACCTTCTATTCTTTAAAAAAACTCACGACAAGGGCCGGCCCCTTCCGAGTCTTGGGCGGTGAGTTGGCGGATGAGTGGCGCCAGGGATTGGATTGTTGATGCTGGGGGTTTGTATGCTAGCGGAATCTGATAAATCGTGAATTCAACCTCTGGTGGCGTTATTGGATGTGGCGTTCCTTGCAGGGTCCTGCTCTAACAGATTGATGCAACGGCTGCTGAATCTATCGCTCTGCTTGCATCAGTGCAACGGCACGATGCAATACTACCAAGACTTTCTTTGCTGCCTTGAGTGCGGCCGACAGACAGATGAGGTCGGGGAAGCGCGGCATAGAATAGCCTATTGCTGTTCGGTGCGGGGAACCCCTGGCCTCCCCCAGTCCGGGGTGCCTTGAGAAGAAGAATGGCAGAGGGTTAGGGCAGAGCCCAGTCGGCATCTCTTGGACGTGAACACGGCTCTCTTGCGGCATCTGGAGCAAAGCCGGCCGGCTTCTCTCCGGGCAGTTTCTGGGGTGCAGTTGCATGGTGGATGACGTGGCTGGGGCTGGGATTGGGCATGGAAAGTATTGCCTGTGCATCGCGGAGACGAGCTATTGATTCTGGTGGCGAACAAGCTGCGGATGAGGAGAGCAAGAGAGGCAGTTATGCTGAGAAAAGAGGTCCGCAAAGGAGAGAAATGAAGGGGCTGGAAGCTTGGCTATGTACGAGTAATGAGAGCCTCCGACTATTAGCTTACAATCTATCGTGACACTAGCCGGCGTTTATCGAACCATGGTCGTGGTGTTGAGGAGGATGACTGCCAGAGCCGACAAGGTTCCCGCAACTCCGGGTGTGTGATTGGTGGCATATGTTGCATGGGCTAGGCTCCAGCAGCTGCCAGCCAGTCGCTGCCCTGGTTCGTCGTCTATTTGGGACGGTCCAGTGACTCCCGCGCGTTTCGTGGGCGTGGGGTTCATTATGAGTGATCTTGCATTCTTGTTTCTTTGCGTATTGAGTGCGTGATGGCATAACCTCGCTGATTGTGCTTCCTGCCTCGTTGTGTCAGATAGAGATCGACCAAGGAGAGTATTGACAGGTGCGTGTGCTCTGTACGACGGCGAATCCATTTGCCTGATTAGGAAATTGATAGCAAAGAAGCCAGACTTATACTGTAGTGTCACCTCAGGTGACAGCCTGGCGTATTCACACGAGACACTGCGTGTGCGACCGGGTGTGTCGGCCATGGTATTTGGGTCTGCAGCCTTACAACGGTATTGATCCAGGACATTGGGCCGACTGCTCCCTCAGCGTCCGCCCAAATGCCACAGCGTAGCGTGGAGACTATGCAGATGTCGTGACCGTTTATCATGGGTCGTCAAATTGTGATCTTCGCGGTGCGTCTCGATAGTACTTGGAGCTAGCACCCGTGGCTGAAGGAAGCAAGGCTCCGTTGTACCCATCGACCTGGATATTGTAGGCACTCCGTAATGTTCGCAGCAATACCACTAGGACATAGCGGCTGATAGTACAGTATCTTCCTCAACCGCTGAACCTCTTGGCCCTTCCATTCCACCCCGTCCCCTATTCAGGGTGAATCGCCACTCTCCCCATGTGCGAGCTGTGTCTGCTGAGGGTGCGACAACCTACGTCGTTTGCAATCCTGAGACAGGCTAACAGATACAGACACCAGTGTCGGCTGGTGACGGTGACGCCTGATGAACGCAGTCGAGACAATCATAGCAATAGGCCACCACCTGATCCGCTTGTGGTTCGTTATTGCGGCATCGCAAACGGAGCTAAAACAAGGAAGCGTTTCTTGTAGAATCAAGATTCAAATGGTTAACAGCATACGGTAGGTAGCGGTAAGCATACATGTAAGCAAAAGTATATCGCTGAGATTCGCGTCGGCTGGCATGGAGTACTCGTACTTGTCAGTACTGGTACCCCAGACACGGAGCTTTTTGCCTTGACTGTGTTGTACGAGTACAGGGCCAGGAGCAGTGTCGCCGGCTATTTTTTCATAATTCCAGCACCCCGTGGTCGCTGGAATCCGCTAGCCCAGGGGCAAAAAGGCAATTCCAGCGCTGTGGCGCTAAACTTTAGCCCTGATACCCATCTCCCGATCGGGATGCGGAGGGCAGCTGGTTCTTTTCTCTGTCTTGCACCCAACATGACCCAGGCGAGGATTGGATGCGACAAAGAGACTTCCTTTCTTGTTCATCTCGCTTCTCTTCGGCCGCCAGATCGTTAGCATGGGTAAGAGGCAAAACTTACTCCTCAACTCCTCACAGGTTGTGCTACCGAACTGGATCAGCGGCGGAGGCAGAGCCAAAGTCAGGGCTCCATATGATAGACGTCGCGGGCATTCTCTCCTCGAAAACCACGTGTGTGAGCAAGCATTCTCGTATGCCTCGCCGATCTATCGTTTATGCTTCAGTTCGTTCTCGTATCGTTGCAACAGCACATCGCAACCAACCACTCATTCACTCGGGGAGTCTCGTCGTTTCATGCACGGCGCGCGCTCTTGGCTCGGCGTCTTTCTGCTGCCTCTCGCCCGCTCGCAACAGGGCCGAGTAAGAGATGGACAGCGGCCGACCATCTTCAGAGGCTGTCGTCGATAGGCCGAGCCGGCAGAAGAAGTGCGACCCCCTGGCACTGCTGGCCTGGAAGTAGAGTTGCGGACCACCCATGTCGACACCCATGTCCAGCCTGTCTGAAACCAAGAATGGCAGCCAATGGCATCACTACGTTCCTGGAAAGTAGCCGTGGATCCACTGCGCTCCTGTGGCGGCTATACGCCACGGAGCGTGTACCTGGGCTCTACTCAGGAGAGCTCAATCTCAATGGGCAGACTCGCGAATAGCATCCGTACCCAACCGCGGAGCTTTTCGTAGCTTCACGACGCTCCACCCAAGCCTGTCTCTGAAATTTAGATGACCTCCTGCGAGGCTTAGGCTGCTAACTTTGTCTCAGAGGAACAATCTTGGTCCGCTGCTCCCAGCCAACTGCCGCTCCCGCGCGTACGAGTGCGGAACACGGAGTATTAGGGGAGAAGCTTTGTTTGATCGTGATGGCGGCTCTATCGTGGCCTATTTTTGGCGTGGAGGCGCGATATAAGGCAAGTTTCCTCAACGCCGTTGCGTCATCTCTCTCTCTTTCTCTCCGCCATCCATTTGTTCTACGTGATACTCTCTTTGAGGGCTGAACGCTTCCCCTTTCATCGACGACTTCTCCAGCCTTTCCTTTGGTTTGCCCAAGACAAAGAAGTGCAGTTCTAGACCGTCCATCTTCATCCAGTGATCTCTTTTCTTTCACCATTCACACTGCGAGTGTTCATACCTCTTCATCATCCATTCATCAATCCATTCTAGTGCTTTGAACAGCATTGATTTTCCTTCTTTCTCTCCTTGGCATCAAATCATCTTCATATACAGCCCTCCACGGCCCACCCCTTTTTCGGCCCGTCGCCCGCTTGGCATTCGAAGACGAAGCAAGAAGAACAATTCACCAGCATTAAGCATAGCAAGTGCCCTGGCATTGCATCCACTGCTTGCGATATACTACCGAAACAAATCATTTTGACGTGGTAAGTTACTGTGGCGTTGCATGCAAAATGTCATCTGTGGAGAGCAACATGACGGGCACTTGGCGCGCGTGCATGGTCTCCCTTGTCTCTCGATTTGTGCGGGCCGAGCAACTCCAGAAAAGTTTCTGTAGGGTGCCATGGCAGATGCTGAAGATGTGCGGTTTGCCGGAGCATCTGTGTGCGCGCTCTCAGCGAGTGTGTGCGGATACCTCATGACCCTCGTCACGGCGGACGATTGTCTGCAACGCTTGGGCCCAAAGAAGAAGCTGCTTACCTTCTTCTCAACTTGGCTTCACCCTCCTCCTCGGTCTCATCCAAAGAGCAATCGGCGCGTGATGGTGGGGTTTGGGGGTGTTTGAAGGCCAAGGGGGGTGTCGATTCAACACGCCTTGCTGCCATGCCATGCCATGCAAAGGCCATACATCACCAAAAGCCTTTCTTCTGCTATTGGTATTGTGCTCTATTGTCATTCACTGCCCATGCCTATTAAAGGGCCATGCCCGGCCTCACTTTTCACAATCCTCTCACCAACACCTCTTCTCATCATCATCATCGCTTTCTTCCCTGCGCATTGACAGCTCCTTTGCGCACCCTCTATCAATAGCAAAGCTTCAGTCTCGAAGCTTGTGAGGGAGAGGGCATTCAGAGTCAGTCCCTTCTCTCTGGCTCCCGTCCAACATCACCCTTCCCCATGTCTCTCATTAACCGCCCCTCATTCCCTTCAACATCGCATCACACTCACAATTGTGCATTTCATACAAAAAGCCTGTGGCTGGACAAACTTTTTCACTCTTGGACAAACTGCTGACTCTGTTTTCTTTCTCGTGTAGCCTATATCTGCCCGGCAGTATACACATAACCCCCCTCGAAATTCGAACCGCGGAAAGGTTGTATCAATCTGTTTCCTGGTCATGATGGGCCTCTCAACCATCTTGACGGCCTCTCTGCTGGCCCTGCGTCTCTTCTCGGTGCCGGCTGTGGCTGTACCGGCTCCGTCTCCGGCTGCTGATTCAAAGGCCGTGGCCGCCGCCACAAGCTGGTGGCTTCCCAACATCGCACGCCAGGGTACTGTTCCCTACTCAAACGCCGGCGCTGGCTACCAGATCTACCGCAATGTTCAGAGCTTTGGTGCCAAGGGTGACGGCGTCACTGACGATACCGCGGCCATCAATGCTGCGCTGAGTTCTGGAAATCGATGTGGTGCGGGTTGCGATTCCCAAACCACCACTCCGGCCATTGTCTACTTCCCACCTGGTACCTACGTCGTCTCATCCCCCATTCAGCTCTACTACTACACCCACTTGATCGGTGATGCCACCAACCTGCCTACCCTCAAGGCCTCCCGCAACTTTGCTGGTATCGCCGTCATCGACTCCAACCCCGGCTGGTATGGCGCCACCAACAACTTCTTCCGCCAGATTCGCAACTTCAAGATTGACCTGACTGGACAACCCATCAATACCGGCACTGGTATTCGTTGGCGTGTTGCTCAGGCCACTTCGATCCAGAATGTCCAGTTCATCATGAGCACTGACACAAGCACAAACAACAAGCAGCAAGGTCTCTGGGGAGAGGATGGTTCTGGCGGCTGGCTGAGCGACCTCACCTTCACCGGTGGTGCTCTGGGCATGTGGGTTGGCAACCAGCAGTTTACCAGCCGTAACCTCGTCTTCAATGGCTGCCAGACTGCCATCTACATGAACTGGAACTGGCTGTGGAGTTTCCACGGCATCACCATCAACAATGCCAACGTTGGTATCGACATGAGCGGCATTGATGGTAACGGCATCCAGCAAGTCGGCTCCATTTTGCTTGCCGACTCTAAGCTCACCAACACAAAGGTCGGCGTGCTCACCAACCACGACCTCAACCAGGCAGGCACCTATGGTACTCTGGTTCTGGATAACGTGGACATGACCACGAACACCCCCATTGCCGTAAAGAACGCTCGCAGCGGCGCCACCCTCCTCGGAGGCAACGCCAACATCGCCTCTTGGACCCAGGGCCGCGCCTACACCAACAACAACGGAAAAGCTGTTCAGGGCACCCGTGCCACCGTCTCCAAGCCTGCTGCGCTGACCGCTGGTGGCAAGGTCTTCACTCGCAGCAAGCCCCAGTACGAGAATGTCCCCGCTAGCAGCTTTGTGTCTGTCAAGTCTCGTGGTGCCAAGGGTGATGGAAGCACTGATGACACTGCTGCCATTCAGGCCGTCTTCAACAGCGTTTCCTCGGGCCAGATTGTCTACTTCGACCACGGCGCGTATGTCGTCACCGACACCATCAAGGTCCCCAAGAACATCAAGATTGTCGGCGAGGTCTGGGCTCTCATCATGGTTGGCGGTACCAAGTTCAAGGATATCAACAACCCCCAGCCCGTCTGGCAAGTTGGTCAGCCCGGCGATGTCGGCAACGTCGAGATTCAGGACATCATGTTTGAGACCCTCGGCCCGCAGCCCGGCGCCATCATCGTGCAGTGGAATGTTGCCGGTTCTTCTCAGGGTGCTGCCGGTCTTTGGGATGTCCACTTCCGTATCGGTGGCAGTGCCGGCACTCAGCTGCAGTCTGACCGCTGCGTCAAGACCCCCAACCAGACGACCAACCCCAACCCCTCATGCTTTGGCGCCTTTTTGCTCCTTCACGTCACCACTTCTGGAAGCATCTACATGGAGAACACTTGGCTCTGGGTGTCTGACCACGAGCTTGATCTTGCCGATCACAGCCAGGTCAACATCTACAACGGCCGTGGTCTCTTGATTGAGAGCACCAAGGGAACCTGGTTGTGGGGTACCGCTTCGGAACACAGCGTGCTCTACAACTACGCCCTGAACAACGCCCAGAACGTTTACGCCAACATCCTCCAGACTGAGACCGCCTACATGCAGGGCAACCCTGATGCCAGAGTGCCCTTCACCTCCCAGTCCAAGTATGGTGACCCTGACTGGTCCAGCTGCACCACTTCTACTTGTGCCCGTACCTACGGTATTCGCATCGTGAACTCGAGCAACACCCTCATCTACGGTGCCGGCATGTACAGCTTCTTCAACAACTACGACGGAAACACTTGCGTCAATGCCAACAACTGCCAGGACAACATGATTGACATCCGCAACTCTCAAGTTAAGCTCTTTGCCATTAGCACCAAGGCCAGTATCAGCATGGTCACCCTCAATGGCCAGCAGTCTGTCTTTGACAGGGACAACCGCAACACATTCTGCGGCACCATTGCCTCTTTCGAGACGTCATAGAAGGACGACGAAGATGCTCTGACTGCTTCAGCCCCAGGACCCAAAACAAGCCCTGGGGATTACAGTACGCCTGTCCCTGAACTTCCGGGAAAGCCGCAATCTACTGAAAGCGTCTTGCCCACATCAACCAAATCTCTGCCACTGGGATACGGTTCCGAGGAGGTTGTGACGATAACTCGGACCGTGTGGATTAGCCCAGAGGCCCTGCCCACTTATACATATTATGACTGAAACGTATATATGCGATATGCTTGGGAAAAACTCGAGCATTTTTTCTTTTACTCTCGATTCTCTTTTGCTCTGTTCCGCGAAGATCTGATCACCCTTGATCGCTAGGACGCATTGTCATTTTTTTGTAAAAAGAGAATATTATTTCCCTTATTATTTATTTGGTCTTGTCTTTTTTGGTCTATTTTTTGGGCACAACTGTGGGAAGGATTGGGGATGGAAAAGGGACAGCACTGACGTGCAGCATGGGTAGAGATGAATAAAAATACGAGTTGATTGACTTGCCACATTGGTTGTCTATGCTTTGCTTTGATTGTGACGTTTTGGTTTGAGTCCTAGTGGTAGTTTGTGGTTTGCTACGCTGCACGTGTCCAAGGGCGTTGATCGTACATGGCGAGCATAGTGTAATTTGTTACTGGGATATAAGATGTGCGATGTAAGGCTGCACCAAAGCAAATGATGACACAGAGTCTATGGTATGCTACTACCTGTCTGTAAGGTATATTTAAACAGTCTAGAAAAGTGGAAGAAATGATAAATTTATCAGATCAAGCTGGATGTAGGTATGTGTAGAATGTTAATATATGGGTACATGACTGAGAGCATTGTACAAAAAGAACAGTAGCAAGGTAGGCAAAAAAGACACAGAGAATATTCGAACAGAGGAGCAAAAAGTGAAGACTCCTTTGGGGGAGCAGTGTAAGAGGACTCTGTTTGGTTAAAGCAGCTACTTCACTGAATTTCAGCTAGTTTGTTTTGACTTATAAGGATGCTGGAGCCTGCCTGTGAGGCGCAGCGAGAGGATGTGGTTGGCTGGTGGGAGCTGCGAAGTTGGTGGGGTGAGTCATGCCGAGCGCTGGAGCGTTGACTGGCACTTCATGCTTGGTATGGCATAACTGCTTGGGATTTTGAGAGACTGCTTGGTGATGTTACGAGATGTACTGGAATAGCGAAAATAAATTATTGCTCTGTAATAGAATATGTCTAAATGAATAATGCGACGACGCCGCAAGATACTGGGCGGTTGGTGTAAGTATGCATCCACATTCTACCAAGTCTACGATCTCGTCTGCTACTATTCTACGTATTATACAATACGGGCAGAGCAAAAAAAAAAAGATGCTACAGCAGCTTTTCGAACAAGAGGCAAAAAGTGAAGGCTCCAGAGAGGAGAAAACTTTCGATTCGATGAATTGTTTGCGTTATTCAGCTACTTCACTGAATGTATGCTCGTTAAAGTTGCTTGATAAGGGATGTTTGTGTTCATGAGAGACGGGCTGTGATTGGCTTGTTGGAGCTGGGATGGCGATGTGGGGGCGAGTCACACACCGAGAGCCAGAGCTGTAGGCTGGTGTAAGTTTTGTGTACAGTATTATTGCTTGGTCTCGGGGATCGTCTTGTGCTTCTAGATGAATTTTACAGTGTAAATTGGGGATTAAAGTGATAATAGAAGTTTATGTATGTATACTCTAAGTTTGTGAATATAAATGTAGAGACAGACTCCGAGGCTGTAAAAATATGGCCAAGTCTAAGAAAGTATCTAAAAAGGCATCTACATACATGTAACCTATGCTATAGAAAGACGAGACAGAGAGAAAGCAAAAAGAAAATAGAAATTTAATAAAAAATGCAACAGACGTTATTCGAACAGAGTGATCAAAAAGTGAAGCCCCCGAAGGGGGAAAGATGAACTAGATACGGAACCCTCCGAAGAGCGTCCCATTTCCAACTATGTCTGGAGTCATTGAGCTACTTCACTGAACAGAAGTTCGTTTAATTTACTTTATAAGGGGTGTTGCTATCATGAGATTTGGGCTGTGATTGGCTGAGTAGTGCTGGGGTGGTGAGTCACACCGCAGGCTGTAGCTGTAGGCAGTCTGGCGTAAGGCTTGTGTACAGCATCATCATTGCTTGGTCTGGGATGTTGTCCAGTGCTTCTGGAGGAAGTTCACATTATTGACCAATCTATTGATATACGTTGAAGTAGCTATATTCTGGTCCTGTGAATTTGATGTCTGCGAAGCCGTAAAAAACGACAGGCGGCCTAACGAGGTAGCTATGAATACATAGCTTACATACATGTAACCCGTGGTATTCCATGCTATGATAATGGGACAAAAAGCAAAACGAGCCAAAGGAAAAAAGAGAATGCATCAAACACTACTCGAACCGAGTGACAAAAAGTGAAGGCTCCCAATTGGGGTACAAGTTCTACGAACGGAACGCTCCGAAGAGCGCCCCCTGGAAAACAAGTCTCATACTGGAGAATATTCAGCTACTTCACTGAAAACTAACGCGTTTAATTTGCTTTATATAGGATATTTCAGCAAGGGATAGGAGGGCTGTGATTGGCGTGTTGGGTAGGCATCGTGGCTGTGCCCATGTAATGATGTAGGTCTTAGCTGGGTGGAGAGTTGGTTCATGGTATAAGATTTGTGAAAGGAGGATAAACCATTATGTATCAGAGGATGTAAGTGGTTAGTGCCATTGTTGGCCGCGATGTCTTCGATATTCCTACCTGGGCTAGAGCTTTGAGGAAGGTAAGTATCGCCATGGAAGAGTCATTTGATCATTGAACGAGAATAGCCTGTGGACGGATATTAAAGTGGCAGCTCTAAGGCAATACTACACCGGGCTTGGACTGTCCAAGTCCAATATGGAGCAATATATTGTGCATCATTCATTGTTTGAACGTTGAATCAATTCGAATACTGTGGCATCAACTGCTCTCATTCACCATGAAAGGTCGGCTCCCAGTCCAAGGCCTACGAACAAGATGGATCAACGTTGGTAGGCACTATGCTCCAGAGAGCACTCCGATATAGAGCCATGATCAAGAGAAGCAATCAAATCAGTTCTGAAAGACCCCATATCTCTTCAATAGATCGCTTATCAAACGCTAAGTATTTCTATGTAACCGAACAATACAATCACGATGTCCCCCAGGTACATACCCCAGCAGCCGTCCTACTTTATCTGCGACCAGAGTTTTGGGACCTTTATTCAGCAGTAAAGTCGACATCTCACTCCGTTTTATTTAGATCTTTTTTTGTCAATAGTGTACCGATCATGATTGCCCTTGGTGTTAAGTAGCGCTGTGACCTATCAGTTGAATAATGTCATGATATCCTTTTTCAGATGCATACTGCAGCGCAGTTGTGTAGTACTTGTCCTTTACATCGACCTTGGCACCCTTTTCAATCAATATTTTGGCCATAGACTCATGTTCATCCCTGAGAGCCCTAATTAGCGGTGTTTCGCCATACTCGTTCGTCGTATCTAAATCAGCGCCTTTGTCGATGAGCAGTTGCATAATGTCATCCCGTCCCAAACAAACTGCAGATAAAAGCGGCGTGCAGCCATCGTAGCCCTTGATCTCCATAATAGCTCCATTGTTGAGAAGTAAATCGACAATCCTCTCATGGCCCTTCTGAGTTGCCAACCACAGCGGCGTCTGACGACGATTATCCTGTGAGTTGATATCGGCCCCCTGCTCAATCAACATGATGGTGACTGAATAGTGTCCGTTAAAGGCAGCATAGGCGAGAGGCGTCAATCCTTCGTCGTCTCTTGCATCTGCGTCCATATCGCTTCGGTCGAGGAACATCTCTACAGCGGCTTCGTGCCCCCCCTCTGACGCATACGAGAGCGGCGTCCTCCCCGAATCGTCTCTCAAGTGATGCTGGGACTCTCCGCGAGCCAGCAACATTGATATGATGGTTTTGCGCCCGTTTGCCGCTGCATGGAATAGTGGTGTCTGTCCTCTACTATCCTTTGAGTGGATGTCGATATCGCCTCGGGTCAACAGAAGCCAGACAACTTCGGCATGGCCCTCTTTGGCTGCATGAGACAGAGGCGTTCGTCCCCCTGAATCTTTTTCATCTGGTTTGACATCACGCCGCATTAGGAGCAACCATACAATCTTGGCATGCCCATTAGCTGCTGCATGCGATAGAGCAGTTCGTCCACTTCTATCCTTCTGATCGGGCTTGGTGGAACGCTCCGCAAGTAGCCATTGCGTCTCCAACACGCGCCCTGCCTTTGCCATGTCGAGGAGCGAAGGTTGTTCTCCAGCATTCCAATTCACTGGTGGTGGTGTTGACGAGCCATTGATGAAATTTATCGTCGCATCAAACAGACCCCAATCAGGATCATCACGAGGGTTCGGTGGGGGTTGTCCTAGCGCCGCAATACTTGCGCTTCCTATCTGGCGGCGATTTCGCATTTTCATTGTTACTGGACGATGTTGCCGGACATTTATCCATCTTTGAGGGCGTTGACTTGGTCGAAAAGGCATGGGATCAAACAACTCGTACCGTTCACACCAAACTCTCTCAAAGTTCTCCATGGTAAGGGATACGTCTTTGAGGTATATCGCAATAAAGTCGTGTCTCTTTCTGTTGCGTTCTGCACAATGCAGTATGGCAAGTCCCAGTCCTTGGTGTCCTACTCCCATATAAGATAGCTCTAGGCGAATACCCTTGTTGCTGACTGTCCAAGATCTGCTGTCTGGAAGCCAGCCAGTGCGCCTCCGGACAACGTTGCCGGAATGCTCAAAGGCGTCTGGAGATGTTGCCAATAGTGATGAGTGATGTTGGGTTTTGGATCTCCAGGCGAAGATGCTGTCGTCGTCCGTCACCTTCATAATCTCCTCTTGGAGCCTCATAAAAGCTCTGTCCCCCTCGCCATACAACAATGGCATGTTGATGCCGAATATGCCCATTAAACAGTAGGCTCGGTCTTCAGACCGTGATGTTTGTCTCGAGGCGGCCCAGGACATTTTCTGCGCAACACTTACACTCCCGAGACTGGAACCGGAGAGAACACTCATAGGTATGCCGGTGCGCTTGGAAATTTCTTGTTTTAGGCTTTCTCTAGTGCCCAACTCGTTCCATGCGTCGTCTAGGAAGATCATCGTCTCCGGCGCAATCAACTCTTGAAGCGTCCATCCTCTTGTAAACCACCTGCTCTCCGAAAAGGCAACCTTGGACGGCACGTCTGCGAGAAAACCATAGCAGACATCGGCTTCAGCGTACCACTGGTACATGGAGTTGATTGCCTCGGACAGCTCAGCGCTGCTTGTCTTGTCGATGCAACACGTGTCTACCCAGGCATAGTCGTATCCGTTTGCCCTTGCCAAGATACAACAGCCTCTGATCTTGTCGTAGCCTTTCTTGTTGGCGAAGCGACCCAGAGTCATGTCTTGAAAGGTGACTTCTTCTTCGCCCCAAGTGTGCGACAGGATGGCGTAGGGCGGGACATTTTCTTGGCCGAATTCTTTCAGCTCAAACCCTCCAGTGTCCAGCTCTTTTGTATGGAGTAAACGCATGGTTTGAAATTTGGAAGAAGATTGAGACTGTGGTTGAGCTCAAGATCTAACTATTCCTCTTTCAGCTCGAGTTGTGCTTGAAGAGCTCGAGGTGGAGATCAGGTGAGGGGATAATAGACATATGGATGTGCTGTACTCAGCCCGCACAGAAGCCTTCCAAGTCATGTTCTAGCGCGTATTGCACATATGCTCCCGTGCAATCGTGTAATAGTGATGGTTCACGCACGCGTGTCTAAATCATGTAATAGATAACCAATGTATTATAATAAACTATATTTGAAGAATACGTCGCCTAGGTACAGAGCACTATAGAAACTTTCTAAAAAGACGACGCAATCTAGAATTAGTGTTGTTCTGACCGACCATGCGAATGCACTGCTGCCCGCGTGGTTCGCCCCCCGTCGTGGTCTGCGTGTTGTAGTCGATGGAGTAGGGAAGTGTCGCTTGCTGAGAGCTCTCCCCTTCCCCTTCCTCTTGCCTATCCTGAATGCCAACCTCGTTCGATTCGATAGGTTGATGCTCAGATTTCTAACGTTCGAGAAGCTTGGTAGACTCGACCGTATATGGATGCTCTGGCCACAATACAGAGCGTCTATATTGCACACACTCTTCTATTAGTGTAAGGGCGCTACTATGGCGGCCTAGTTCTATCCAGGTACAGGCGAGGTTGTGCATGGACAAAAGTGTGTCTGGGTGCTCTTTCCCAAGAATTTCCCGTTGGCGATCAAGCGCTACAACTGCAATCTCTTCTGCTTCTTTATAACGGCCCTGTGCACTGTATATTACTGCAAGACTCACCATACTTTTTATTGTTTCTGGATGCCTATCTCCAAGAATTTCCTGTTGAAGATCAAGTACTTGGATTTTAAGGACCTCTGCCTCTTTATGACGGCCTTGTGCATAATAGGTTGCTGCAAGACTCACCATACTTTTTATTGTTTCTGGATGCTTATCTCCAAGAATTTCCTGTTGAAGATCAAGTACTTGGATTTGAAGGACTTCTGCCTCTTTATGACGGCCTTGTGCACTGTATGTCGATGCAAGGGATGCCATACCGCTTATTGTATCCGGATGCTTATCTCCAAGAATCTTCTGTCGCAGATCAAGCACTTGAACTTGGAGAGCCTCCGCCTCCTTATACCGGCCTTGTGCCCGGTACATTTCTGAAAGGGTTGCCATACTCAGTATTGTGTCTAGATGCTTGTCTCCAAGAATCTTCTGTCGCAGATCAAGCACTTGAACTTGAAGAGCCTCTGCCTCCTTATACCGGCCTTGTGCCCAGTATGTTTCTGAAAGGTTTCCCATACTCTGTATTGTGGCTAGATGCGTGTCTCCGAGGATTTGTCGTTGAAGATCAAGGATTTGAACTTGAAGAGTCTCTGCCTCTTTATACCGACCTTGCGAATAATAGGTTAAAGCAAGATGTGCCATGCTTATTATTGTGTTCGGATCCTTTTCTCCCCACGTTTTTCGATCAAATTCCAATCCCCTTTTATTGACCAGTTCTCCCTCTCTCCACCTCCCACGGTCAAGGAAGAATTTGGACATTCTGTGGAAGAGTACACTTATCTCGGTATGTTTTTCGTTCAAATCTGCCCAGTCTCCTATCTGCATTGCATGTGCCAAGTATTTCTCGCATTGCGTCCATGTTTCCGGCCCAGACTTTGGGAAAAGGTCAAGTATTACTTGCACGGCAATCCCAGAAAAGTAAGCCTGGCCTTCCTTCTTCGATGGAACTTTATAAAAAACGCTGGGCTTCCACGGACTCAGACCATATCGTGCGGCCTCTTGAACGAGTTTATGCATCTCATAGCTCCTGCTGCCATCCTCCATTCGTTGCATGCCAAGAAAGGAAAACTCTTTCAGCCGTGTAACGGCCTTGGTAGCCTCGGCTTCCAAGATCCCTGGCTGAACAAGGTTGCTATCGCTGCGCGTGAGTATAGTCGTTATGATTTCGTGTGAGATATTTTGGTTCGCAACGTATGCGAGAACGTGAAGAATATTATACGTAATCTCGCTTTCTTGTCTAAGGCGATCAATCGAGATGCTCCATGTCTCAAGGACATTGTTTGGTACACCGTCTCTTCGATGCCTGTCAAACTCCTCTTCTTTGAAAAGCTGCCATCTTCTCTTGCTTTGTGCTAGAAGAGATGAATACTCCTTGGCCGATGTCGATGTCCGTCTCATATATGCCCCGGCTTGCGTGATGGCTAGTGGAAGCCACTGAAGTTCTTCTAGCAAGGCAGCAGTCTCTAATTCCTCTTCATTCGTCTCCAAGTCCCTTGCTATTGTCAAGAGTTCTTCTGCTTCATCGGATTCCATGCGAGCAACCTTGATGCCTCGCCTTGGGCCGACAAGTGTTCCCGCTATGCGCGCATCACGAGAGGTCCACAACACTGTCCCTACAGATGCCCGAGGGATGTATCGATATAAGCTTTTTGTCCGTTCTCGTGCTTGATCAACGCCAAATACTTGTAAGTCGTCGGCATTGTCGAGAATAAGCACCCAGTCGGGTTGTGCCTCTATTTGATCGCGCACAGCTGCGAGTAAATCTTCGCCTTTGAGTTGCTGATCGACCCCGAACGCCTGCGCTATTGTTTTGTAATCCTGCGAAAATGTTGCCTCGCTGTCGGCATGCACCCAAAAGACGGAGCAGTTTCCTTTGTCGCGCCGTTCATACGCATAGTTGAGTGCAATTTGTGTTTTCCTTGGCACTGTTAATAGCCGCACTCGTAAGAAGAATTGAAAGACAAGAATTAGGACCTTACCCTGACCCGCCCAGGCCCCAGAGAGCGGCACTACAGTATGTGTGCGACGTTTGCGGTAGGAGCATATTGAGCTTTTCCACGAGATCTGGGCGACCGACAAGATCCTCATTGCGAGGATAAGGAATAATATGGATGACAGGTTGAGCTGGACGTAGTGGTAGGTGCAAGTGGTAAGTGTTGTTGTCTTGATGGATAGTGGTATTGTTGCCAAATTGAGTGCTACCAATCTCGCGCTGACAGAGGGCCGGTCGTTGCATCGTGTTATTTGATTCCCGATACACTGATGGTATGCTGATCGATGTTGGTGCTTGTAATTGATCAAGTTGTTCCACGGAGTTCTTGATGCCCAAGAGAACGGCAAGGCTGGGAGCATCACGAGACCTGCAGCTACTGATTGGTTAATATTGGTGTTGAAAATATCAGACAGATGCCTCATCCAGGCGTACATTTTACCCATCAGTAGCCGACCATGATGATAGTAGGTACTTCTCAGATCTAAATCTTAACCTGCCTATACTAATAGACTCTTACTCTTCATGGTTTCACGCCGCTCAACCACAATGCTCTGTAACTTTACCCATATGAATGCTGAGCACTATTTATATCCAATCAATCGGCTTTGCTCTACTGCGACTTTTCATCCAGCAATATTCTGACGTTTCTCATCGATGCTTTTTTGCTCTCTTCTTTCATGGCTGCCTAACCAGCAGCGTATAAGCATGAGGAGTTTCTGTGGTAGGAATATGACAAAGTGAGTCGGCTTACTCTACGCAGGACAGCAGTACGTAGGTGTATGATGTATATCGTGCACAAGGCCAAGGAAATTAGAAATTTTATTCAATGGGTGACTCATTCTGGGTTCATATTAGCTGTTCATTGTTGACGCCGACCTATCTGCAATTTATGTGTAAGTGAGGTTCGCGTTCGCAACCCATACGATGGTGACAATTTAAGAATGATGATGTAGACAAGTTGAAGTTAGCCATAGAAAGAGGGTGGGTGGGACAGTTGGGGAAATTTGGTTTACTAGAGAAAGCATCAAAGCAATACTCTGTTCACTTTGTCAATATGCTCGTTACTTCTGCGAGAGAGTGGGAGCGATAGATGCCCTCCAGTTCCGATAGCAATTGTTTCATGATTTCATACTGGACGATTATAGCTGTACTGCAAATAGGTACATACAATGAGAAAATGTGCAATAGTGATAATCGTGTGTTACTCAAGATTTATGCAATAGATAGAACGGCCGTCGCTGCAACGGTAAAGACCAGAGCCGCAGAAGTGGCTGTCAATGACACCACAAGAGTATCGTTTCCTTCTTGAATCTTGACTCCCATATCTGTATCATTGGCCCTTCAATTAAACTCTCAGCAAGGCAATCTTCTCTCAAGTATTAATAAGGGCATAGGCGGTCTCACTTTTGTTCTTCTTTCGACTTCTTCTCCCTGGCCTGCCTATCATAGATTCGCCCAACCGCGGCCGCCACAACCAGCAAGACTATCACAGTCACGAAGATGGACGACAATAGTCGCACAAATAGCGTTCTTCTTGTTTTCGCTTTGTTTATGGCGTCCTCATCTTTGCTTAATCCATCTTCTTGGTATTTCGGAGGTTCTCTCTCGTCGCCATACGCAGGGAGCTGAGCTCGTGGACTGACAGGCGGACTTTCTGCTGTGGTGGAATCGCTGGCTGCAAATACGTCTGCGGAGAGAGCAGGGAAGCGAGTCGGCGTGTCTTTGGTCTCCATAGTGGACTGTAGAAGAATTACGGTGGCTTCATCGTGGTAGTTTATTTTGGAGAGAAAGGACTGTTTCGTCGGGCGTGAAGTGCTTCATATTACTACTGCTGCTCCTACTTTTGCATGGTGTTCGGAGAGACATCAATCAGCTGAGCAAATTTATGTCTGAGGCTAAATGATCTTCATACCAAGGAACTAGCGGTCACTACGTGAAGTCTGTCTCATGTTGGAATGAGAGCAAACGTTGAGGGCCTAACAACTCAAAATGTTGTTGGACCATATGCTCGGGTAGACAGGAATGTAGATCCTAGGCATCAGAGGGAGAGTTTCCCCAGGGTTTTCCCCAATATCTTTACTCGTATTCCTGTAGCTGAAAGAGTGCAACTTCATCCAAAGTCGATCAGATTCGGTCGCCACTGTTTGGCAAATTACAAGACGTGGGAGCGGTAGTGTATTAGTATTATTACTTGTTATTTTGGAGTGGTATTTCTGCAGGATATCATATAAGCTATTCTGAGACAGTACAAGAGTGGTAGAATGGCCGAGGCATTCACATTCCTCGTTTTAAGGATCCAGGGGACTTGGTGTTGCCACTTTATAATCGATAGCAACCACTTCATTCTCGAAGGGTCAGATCTACCGAAATAAACAGACTCCTTTGAGGTCTGAGAAAAAAAAATTGATGATTAGTCGCTACACGCGGACATGTCTATTGTTTTGCCTGAAGGGTAGCCTTGAAGAGTTCCTGCAAGGCCGTGTGGCATCATTTAACGCCGCCAACCCTACCACGTGGACCGATGACAATAAAAGGGAGGCTTCAACGTTAATTCAGCGATATAATATTTGCCAGCCCCGTGCGGGGTGCAATACGATGTGTTGTAAATTCGGGGGGCGAATACCTGTGACAAGAAACATGCCCAACAGTTGTTGAGATGGAAAGTGACCTAAAAGAAGTTGCAGTGAGTATCAGATTTAGAAAACACAGGTAATTATATGACGGATTATGCCTTCCCAGTTCAATGCCTCTGTGAGTGGAAGGATGACAGCCATGTAATCCATTGTCATCGGACTCTTCCAAAGGGGAAGACTTTTTCTATGCCTCTTCACACTGTCAGTGACTCGAAATAGTAGACAGCTTCAGCCTCATTCCTTCACATCTGCCTGCCAGCTACTATTACGCCTCGAATTATACCCCTCAGTGGGCGCCTTGTCTTCCTGCCTCGATATGAAACGTGTGCTGTTCCGCCACCCATCGGTCAACCGTTCTGCTGCAAGGATCATGTCATGCAGCATTTAGAGCTGCATTACTGCTCTCCTGATTGGAGGCTTGACCCAACTGGTGTTGCCACAGTGTAAATTCCCGATATTCCGCGATTACTTTCACGGCGAGGCAACGGACATTAATTGGATTCGATTGGGAGCCTTGCCGCATGCCGTTACGTATAGGTGTACCGAGTGGGCGAAGTGCATGTATCTCCAGGCAGCCAAATGCGCATGATAAAGGATTACCTGAAATGGGAAATGACGAAACCAGCTTCTTTCACTAGATAACGTTTAATTTGCTCGGAATAGTTTTCTCTTGTTCCAAACTGATGTTCAGTTGTAAACTCCAAACAAAGTCTCCATCTACGTAACCTTCGAGTAAGCGCTTCGAAAGGGCATTCGATCCTATAGAGTCATATTATTCTCCCGAAACTATCCCTCATGGCTCGAACACTTGTGAATATCTCTGACACCATATTCGTGGGAGGCAAACAAGGAAAATACACGGGCTCGGCTGTCAAGACTTCGACGACTTCCAAGCATCCTCCCGTATACGTCCCCCATGGCAAAGGAGTTATGAGATACAAGGATGGCACCATGTATGAAGGCGAGTGGGATAATGGCATCTACTCGGGGCACGGGAAATATACCACCAAGACGGCCGAATATGCCGGCATGTGGTCTAAAGGCGTCAAGGCTGGCCATGGAAAACTGACGACCAGCGACGGGCGGGTGTACGACGGCTGGTTCGAGGCAGGCCAAAAGTCTGGAACCGGCACTCAAAAGAATAACAAAACTGGTTCTAGTTACTCCGGCCAATGGAAGAATAATCTGCCATTTGGGAAAGGTGTCTGGCGTTGGGCAAACGGAGACTGGATGGAGGGAACCTGGAACAGCAGTCAAGCCAGCGGAAAGGGAACGACTTTTCGTCACTTTGGTAACGGGTCAATTTATGAAGGAGAGACGCAGAATGGGAAGTTTACCGGCAGAGGAAAGATTACTTACAGGAATGGAGGAGTGTATCGTGGGCTGTGCTTCAATGGCATGAGACATGGTGCTGGATCATACAAATCAAAGGACGGTGTACTATACGAGGGAACTTGGTCTAATGATGCCGAGAATGGTGCTTTTGTAATCACCCATGTGGCCTCTGGTGTTAAGAAGAAGCACAGGTATTGAGTTGCACTCAGTGAAAGCACTTGGACTATGTACATCCTGGAGTAACGAATCCACTCAGGGAACCATTTCGTTGAGGTGGAATAGGCTGGCCTTCTCAACCTTTTATGATAGCGTTGAGCTTTCGATTAACACAATAGTTGAGATGATGGAGCTGTGATGGCATATGAACGACAAAGCTGATGATGTAATGGCACTACCTATATAACACAAGCCTGTAGCAGTGAGACATACGTGTAAACGAGTTCAGTATATATGTATATGTAATCCCACTATGTATTCAATCTGCAGAGACACTGATCCGCGATTGGGCTCTGATTCGCTTAGAGATTCTCCGGTAAAGCATCAATATCTCCAATGGCGCGAGCTCGTAAAGGAATCACTCCCCGAAATCGCCCTCAGCGACACATTATATACATCTAAGAATTCATGAGCTTTGTCAACAGGATTTTAAATACCATCTATATGATGAAATCACCGATATAACTTCTAGCCTTGATAAAGTGGGAGGCCATCAAGGTACATGTACTTTCTGGCCGAGGATCCAATTCTCTCACCAACGACGTGGAACTACAAGTGCTTACTCCCTCAAGATGCTGCTCGCCTTATTATTTACAGGTTTAATCGTAGAGCATCTCGGTTCTTTCTGAGAAAGATGATTAGAGAGTATGTCCAGTTGGTGTAAGGTGGGACTCATGCAGGGAAGCTCTGCGGCGTTGATGCAATCCAGAAGGCAGTGTCTCGTATTTCCTTTCATCCACCCGAAACATTGGCTGGTCAATTCGACCGTCAACTCCAAATCTGGCCTGCTGCGTGCTACCCACACCAACCAAGGTTTATTGGAACCGCTTACTTGAGTATCTTGATTGTCTTTACAAGGTTATCCAATATTCGAAGTTCACAATAACCAATTGGAGCGCGAAAAAGCTGAGAAACAGCTGATATTCCGACCCAGGGTCACATTTTAAGATTAGCCAAGGCTAAAGCGGAACCCTCATCCGAAGAGTCGAGGCCTTTTACTTGACAGACACTGATTGCTACGTCGTCGGGTTCGGGATAGTAATGGGCGAATAAAAACAGGGTACGGGGTCCGGTGGAGTGGTAGGACCTGGCAGATCTCAACGGGCAAGATCAAGTCGCTCAAAAAGGATCTGAGCCTCGGTATACAAAACCTCGAGATTCAACTTCCTGCCACCCGGCTACGTTGATAACTGCGATTAGATCGAGAAGCTGCCAAGACATGTAGGCCGTTTACAAGACTGCTGCTTACACCACGGAAATGGGCCTAGACGATAGCTATTCGAAATAACCATCCGAGATAGCCATCCGAAATACTCCGTATTTGTATTTGAGTCACTCTGGGCACTCATCTTCCTCCTCGAGAGGGGGGGCTAAAAGATACGATGACCTGATTTTCCGGCAAAGGTCACAAAAATGTGTGGGAGCCAGACCGCAAGGACTCGAAACGTGTGGCCGCACAAAGAGTCGGCTGCCCTCGCTTATGTTGGGAAATGCATCAGAGACATGCATCAGAGACATGCAGCCTAGCACGAGCTCGATTGTGGACGTTGCGACAAAAGCATGTGCGACTCTGAAGCTCACCATCAGCCGTTGGCTTTGGTGATTTAGATGGACCTTTGAAGGATGTGACCCCGTCTCGTGATAAACTGGCTTATCGTCGCCCAATACCATCGTTTCAGGCCTATGGCAAAAGGGATAAATCGCAGCCCAGTATACGAAGTAGAGCCTGAAGTTAGCTTCTGACTCCTTGGATCAGCGGGCTCTTCGGCGACTTTTGTCGAGGCCTCCTGAGTGAGAATTGATTTGAAATCCAACCGCCGCTTCATGTCGCCATCAAGTGCTCGAGTGACAACTTCAAAGCCATGATGTCGCATTGCATGTCCTCCTCTTGATTGATCAATAGCAATGCAAAGAGATATTATGCTGCGGACCAAATGGTGTGTGACACAAGCATCTGCGGCAAAGTACCGCGTCTCAGGATTTTGACGTCGGAAAACTTGCGCTTGCTGACATGAGGATGTTGATGCCGGATAGCCAGACACATGCAATCTCAGCCCAAGCAGAGCCTCGTCATTTCACCACGCATGCATGTGTGACAGACGCACGCCCGGAATAAACATCCAAGCTCCTGAGAAAAGGGATCCAGGGGGCCAATGGGCCTTTTTTGCACTTTTGTTATCCACCGGAAAGTGACTCAGGCGCGGGCTTGAGCTGGTGCTGCCATCCGACAGATTGGCGGCGAGGGATCGAAACGCCTTCGATGGTGAGAATTGCGCCATTCCGGCGGTGCCAGTGGCCAGCCGAAGCGTGTCCCTGAGCCAAAGCAGCTAGGCGCAAGTCGCTGCGAGAGATCGCCAATCGAAACCCCATGGGCAGAAATGCTGCGAGGGGTCCATTTAATTAGATTAACCAGTCCAGGCCAGTTGATGATGTCGAGAGGCCAGTTGAGTTGGCGTTGGTTCTGCATGTTTAGGGAGGTGACCAAGGTTCCATGCAGTTGACTTTCGGCCTCTTGCGTTCGATGCTACCTGCTTGGGGAAGCTAGATGCGGCATAATCGCAGCGCCAGGCACAATTGTGAGCTGAAAGGGTGCCAATATGTCTCCTTTGATGTTAGGCTGTGTCGGTATCCCAATGAGGGCAGTGGTGTCGCGTTGCTCGCATTGTGATGGTGTTGCTCGTGTCGCTTTCCAAGACACGACTCCATATTACTAGCAACAAACCATCAGCTGAGGTCAGAGCCCGGCTCAAGCCACCCTCGATCCTCAAGCGATCACAAGCAGCGATAGTACGATAGTAAAATAGCAATAGCTCTTCATTGCGGCACTCGCCGCTGTCGGACCCAGGCAAAAAGGCCTGTCAGCGGCTCTCGGGGGTCTCTGATGTGATCGTCGCGGCTCCTGGAATGGCAATCTCGGGAGTCGGCGCCGCGGTGTTGTGCTCCGTGGCATCGATGGCGAGATCTACCGGGTCCGGGGCCTGTTGCTTTCGATACGGCAGCCAACGTCGCAATTTCTTGCACCGCGGCGGTGGCAACGCCGGCTTATGTCAGGCACGTGGACTGCGAACAGAGGCAAAAAAGAGTCAAAGCAAAGACTAGAACAAGAGAAAAACTGGGAATTTTGTTATGGTTTTTCACTGCTGGGGCGATGGAGTCTTTATGACTAAAGGGATCCTCCGCCATCCATCCCACCATCGGGTCGTCGGGGCGGGGCATCCAAGGCCAGTCACAGGGTCTCAGCACCTCCACCACAGCAGCTGGCAGCGGCTCTAGGCCTCTCTCGGCCGCTGGACGTCCCTCCACAGGCGGCTGTCATAGGGCATTGGCTACAGGCCCCGTCCGTTAAGCTTTAGCGAAGCCACGCACGCTGTGTGATAACGCCATTTTGGCTCCATCGCACCCAAGAAGCTACTGGACACCTACTGCCCGTTTCAGTTTTTTTCCTCCCCTGCGACTCTGCAATCTTGGGGGTGCGACCCAATATCGATCTCGCCGCCTCTGTCAATCACAATCCCCGGCCTGGCTCCTCCTCCTCCGCCATCCTGCAGCGTGTGTCGTGTGAGCCAAGACAGAAAGGAAGAAGACAAACTGACTGGCCAGTTGCGAACCTGCTGGAACTGCAGCCCTGCTTCCGACTTGAACGCTGCACTGCCGAATCAGCGGACAGCCAACCGTCAGAATTCCTCCATCAAATTCCATCATCCAAATTCCATCATCCTCACCACCGCGAGCGCCACCAGCCAGAACTGCCATTCGCCATCCCTCAAACCGCAGAATCCCGTCGTGTTCGTATCCTCGCACGCAACGGCTCACGGACCTCGCCCTGCCACTGCTGTTTTGTTAGACGGACGGAGCAACGGGCACTCGCAGCTTGTAGGGTGGTGTCTCAAAATACCAAGGCCGGAGCACGCAATCGCTGGCCTTCTCGCTTGACAGCGCATGAGTCGCCGCAATCCCAATTAACCTTTGCTACGTCGTGCGATAAGCCTTCTCACCGCATATTATCCCCATGGAGTCCCTGTCGACTTCACCCGGCCGCGAGCCGACTTCTCTCTCTTCCCTGTCTCGAGCCCACTATGACCACTCTTCGACGGCCGATGCAGTTGTCACTGCCTCTCTAACATCGACTGCGACATCACCTTCGCCTTCACCTTCGCTATCCACCTCCACTGTCAACACTCTACCCTCGACGTCTGTCTCCGTCTCCGTTCCTGCTCTTGACCCTGCTTCTGTCGCTACCTCCAATCCTATTTCTGCCCATCAGTCCTTGTCGCAGCAGCCGCCATCGAGAGACAACTGCGAGCGACGCCGCGAGGGTGAGGAAGAAGTCCCCTCCAAGGGTCTCGTCAAGATGCCCTTCGACCTCGTTGGCAAGACTTTAAGTCCCTTTCTCAAGGAGCACATCCCCGACCAGTATGCTCCCGTTGGCAAGAATCTCAAGAGGGACGACCAGACCGGCACTGGCAATACCTTGGTCAATATTAAGGATCCCAATACCAAGTACTGCTATCGCCATCGCCCCGATTCAAAGTGTCGTCGAGCCGCAGATGAGACCAAGATGGGAACCATTCAACGGGTATGTCTAAACCAACTATCCCTGCCCGCCTTGTCTGACATGTCACTTTGCTAACAATGCTTTTCCTTTTCGCTTTATAGGAGCTCAACAGCCTCTCATCCGCCGATCAGGAAGCAATTACCCACGTCTGGTCGTTGTTCTCTGCCGCCCCAGCCAAACATCGCGAACTGATGCTGCAGGGCATCATCACCCAATGCTGCTTCCCTCAGCTCTCGACCGTCTCCCGCGAAGTCCAAGAACAGCTCAAGATCGATTTCATCGCCACCTTGCCCGTAGAATTATCGTACAAGATCTTGTGTTATTTAGATACCGTGTCGTTGTGTAAGGCTGCGCAGGTCAGTCGGCGCTGGAGGGACCTGGCCGACGATGACGTCGTTTGGCACCGAATGTGCGAGCAGCACATTGACCGAAAATGCACAAAGTGTGGCTGGGGTCTGCCGCTATTGGAGCGGAAAAAGCTCATGGCATGGAGCCGGCATCAACAGACGGCGCACCCAAATCCATCCAATCGCGCCGCCGAGACTTCTGCTGAGCCCGCCTCAGCTCCCGCCCAAGGTTCCAACAAAAGGGCCATGGTGGTCCGCGACGACAGCGGGGCCAAGAGATCACGGGTCAACAAATCGGGCAACGGTCGGGCGCAACTCGACGAGGAGCGAAAGTTTCGGCCGTGGAAGGATGTGTATAGGGATCGTTACAAGGTTGGATATAACTGGAAGACGGGACGCTGTTCCATCAAGACATTCAAGGGCCACGAAAACGGTATCACCTGCCTGCAATTCGACCACAACATCTTGGCGACCGGATCCTACGACACAACCATCAAGATTTGGAATGTCGAGACGGGAGAATGCATCCGCACGCTGCGTGGACACACTTCGACGATTAGGACCCTGCAGTTCGACGACGCCAAACTGATCAGCGGAAGCTTCGACAAGACGATCAAGATCTGGAACTGGCACACAGGCGAATGCATCAGTACACTCCAGGGCCACACAGACGGTGTGCTCTCCATCCACTTTGATGGGTGCAAGCTCGTTTCGGGATCTATCGATAAGACGGTCAAGATCTTCAGCTTCGATACCAAGCAAACCTGGACGCTACGGGGCCATTCCGACTGGGTCAACCATGTGCGCCTCGACTCCGCATCTCGCACCGTCTTCTCAGCCTCCGACGACCTCTCCGTTAAGTTGTGGGACCTAGATTCGAAGCAATGCATCAAGACTTTCTTGGGTCATGTCGGACAGGTGCAGCAAATCTTGCTGATGCCACCAGACTTTGAGCCTGACGAAGACCCCAACGCTGACAAGACCGATGCTGCATCAGCGAGCAGCGGACGAGGCGATTCCCCAACACCTCTTCCAGACCAGACATCCGACCAGCGTGCTGCGTTTGGCTCCGGCTTCGTGTCGGATCCTTCCAGGCCTTTGCCTCCTCGCTACATGCTTACCGGTGGCCTCGATAACACGGTCCGACTGTGGGACATTGCCACGGGCAAGTGCATCCGCAGCATGTTTGGTCACGTCGAGGGCATATGGGGCTTGGTGGGCGACACTCTCCGTGTCGTCACCGGTGCCAATGATTCCATGACCAAGGTCTGGGAGCCTCGTTCTGGCAAGTGTGAGCGCAGCTTCACTGGCCACGCTGGCCCAGTGACTTGCGTCGGGCTGAGCGATAGCCGCATGGCAAGTGGCAGTGAGGATGGAGAAGTTCGTATGTACAGCTTTGAAGGCACCAGCTTGGAGGAAAGGGGAACGCCTTCTTAGGCGATGCCAAGCCCAGTTCGGCAACGCTATCACACCACCAATCACCATCACGCTACTCTCATTGGTTCTTGTGTACCGAGTGAGTGTTAGTAGCACAAATCACGACTTTTTTGACTTTTTTGACATTGAGTTCTTCCTCTGTGTCGAACTGATGTTGTCTTTTCATCTTTCTTCTTTTCTTTTCTTCTCCATTTTCAGGATTTAGACGGACGGGTTTTGGGTTATGGAAACTGGAATGTGCTGGTAGCGCATAAACGGCATTTTTATTTGTCATCACAAAACACAAATCATAGAGCGATTTCTTTTTTATATTGGCCGATATGGTAGCAACGCAACGGGAAATGGATACCCTCGGAGGGCAATAGGGAAACGGCGTTTTGGACTTATCTCAACGGGAATGCTGCGACTAAATGTCTTGCAGCTTGGAGTACACATGGAGTAATGGAGCTTTCGACTATGTGAACGCTATTGTGGCTGTTGGGCGCTTTTTTTCTCGAGCACATAGCCCAGATTGACACTTTGTTAATTCGATCGTGGTTCGTCCGACAAAATACAAATGGTTACATGCATGAATAATTTTACTCAAAGCAATTGTGAATGTCCTCTTATTAGTATACCTTGTCTCTTCTGTCTTTTATCCAGAATCTCTTCTGGACCTGATATAGTGACCACCTCTACCCCTTGTCTTCTTTTATGGGTTGCAAATTTGCGAATAGCAAACCAGAATATTCTTCCAGCTACAAGAAGCACTGACGCCAAAACAATCCTTGATGCTGTTATCACCATTATAACAAGTCCCCTGCACACTTCCATCGCCACCAGCAATGTAAAACAGCCAGGTGCCGTCACCTTGCTTGTAAAAATCCATGTTTCCCACGCCGCACATGCCCGAGAGCTGAAAGTACGTCGAGCCCGTGGTCGAGAGGCCGTCGACGGGGGTGTCGCCCGCCCTGAGGAAGCCGGCGCGGTCGCCCCAGAGCATGCAGTCGCAGTTGTAGTAGTTGGAGGGGCAGGCGACGACGTCGCTCTCGATCTCGCCGCCTTCGCCGGGGGAGATGGAGCAGGGGCCTGTGAGGACGTGGAAGTCTGCGGTGGAGAGGGGGAGGAGGGTGGTGAGTGCTGTGAGGATGGTTGAGAACTTCATGGTTGTGGGAGGTGAGGTTTGAGTGTTGGGATATAGTTTTTGGTGCTTTGTTTGGTCTGTTTGCTTGGGGAGATGTTATTCTGATAATGAGAGAGGGAGTCTTTATTTATATTCGTGCCGGGCATTCATCCGATGGTCGAAAGAACGTGTCTACAGCGCTGCAAAGATGCATATATTCCGATTCATGCAAACGTTTACGATAGAATACGCCTCATGGGGGGCACGAGCAAGGTTCTCAACACCATCTTATACTGTGAATTATCCAATTATATATAGCAATCAGGCTTCTCCAGAGTCGTATGTTGCAGGCTCCTTCACCATAGTCTTCCGGGTAAAGGTTTTCTATAAGAAGTGTCGAATCCTACGAAAAATTGCTAAACTGCGATTATACGGAATCAATTTCCTTAAACGTCAAAATGGCGGGGCTGATATACGGTGCTCAGCACTTTATATTCGTGAGTCGCGTCTAGATACTCGATAGAGTAATGATATGAAGATCACTCTCCAGCTGATATGTTTTCGGGTAAAATCCTACTCGCCCTGATATATATCTTTGTTATACGGCTACACGATGCCTGCATCCAGAAGTTTACTCGGGCTGAGACACCTGCATCCCAGCGCGTTTTATTATCCGATGGGTATAGGATAAAGTCTAGTCCAATGGCTATAACAACAAACATTGAAGCTTGGAGTTATGCTTTAGTAGTAGGTAGGATAGCGTATTGAGGTATATCCGCGTTCCTGCAGGCTTTGACATCGCACAACCGAACAACCCGTACAAATCGCATAAACCAACAACTTAGTCGAGAGCCTTCAGCCTTCATACTATACTAAGTTTAAAAGTCGGCGCAGCCATATTTTATTTTAGACTAGTTTATATCAGCAGGGGCGCTTATATATGAGTACTTATTGCGTCCCTATGCGTACCTGGCTGGGCTTAATCCCACACCACAGCCGTGACAAGGTTGCCAGGAAGGGTTACTTTGGATGTGGACCCAATCCTGTCCTCAGTGTGGCTAGTTGACTTTCAAACAGCAGTGGCAAAACAATGTCGAGTATTAAGTATACATAATAATTGCAGAATATATAGACTTGGAATCTCCACAGCTTTGTCGTTCTCCGAGATTACGACTCGGCTTAGAGGTCGGTGTCCGTTTCCAGATCACACGCTCGTCTATAACCCCTCTTGGATCAACGATATTAAGCCTCGCTGCTGAAGCCATAACCGAACATCTCGGCATACAGAATTAGCCCGAAGAATAACGTGCCATATAACTCAATAGTTCCATTATACACAAGATACCCATACAGGGCAGCTAGCGGAACACATGCTTATGGTGTAGCACATTATGGGAGGACACAGTCGAGGTATATACTTAGACCCTGAGCCATGTATAGCGCCAATTGTCATCAGATAATTAAGAGTTATTACTCTGACCATAAGCAACATGTATAGCATATAGTTTTTCTACCTAGCTTTACAGGAGCGCCATTATGAATGCTATGAACTATGCCGTCACTCTTAATCGAGGTGGTGATCGAGGAAATGGCGTGTAAGTACTTTATAGTGAACCATTCATTACCAGACACCAGCTTAAAGCCCAGGCTATGAAACGCTTCTATGAGTCAGTTATCTGATCTCAAGTCGCCGGCTTTGCCCCCCAAAACGCCGCCCATCAAGCCAAATGACGTTCCCTCCCATAAGCCGAATTCCTCGTCTGGGACCCTGGGAAAACGAACCTCGGCCCAGCACGGCAAATCAGCGGGTCAACCTGTCCGGTCCCTCCCGGCTTGTCTTAAGTAAGATTCCGGTACGTACCATCAAGGTGCGGCTGCGCGTGGGACCCCGCATTATCACAAGCTCGGCATGTGGTCGGTACGAGGAATAACGTCACTGGCTGGCGCTTTTGACATTTGAGATCATCTGAAAGAAAAGGGAAACACGCAGCAGATTTTAACGTACATCGTCATTATTATCATGTGCTTCTCGTGGAAAACCACAGCCGCAAATCTCAATGACGCCAATCCCCTGCTAAATGTTCAATGTTATCGTGAAATCACACCCCTGCATCAATCTTCCGGCCACACGGAGCTCCTGCTCTACAGATCGGAATGGTCACTTCGGTCAGACAAGCCGAAAATCCTCCACCTGTCCGGCTATGTAAACTTCGCCCGTCAAAACAACACTCGAGTGACTCCCCCCTTCCCCAGCCAATGTGGGGACAGCCCACCTGAGCGAGCCGCGGGCCAAAAAAAAAAAAAAACAGCCAAATACCAAGTTGTTCGATTCGAGTTTCACGGGGGTGGGAGGGCCAGCACCGGCTTAGCTTGGCTTGATAGCGTCTTACACCAAAAGAGACGACGACAACCCAGCTTGCTCAGCCCGGCGACCCGGCTGCAACAGAGATTGACATGTACTTTTACAGGAGTAAAACAGCCAAAGTATACCGAGCTGTGGCTCATGCTTTCTGTATCCTGTGACTTGCGGTCCAATGGCCGTGGCTTATTGGTTCGCCCCTAGCTCCAACGGGCAAAGGGGGGCGTGTGTCCAAGGGAGACGAGATGGAAGCTAGACGCCGGAATCATATGTCAAAATCATGGCTTTTCTTTAATAGCGATTATCGGCTGTCTGGATGACTCTTTTTACTTCCTCTCCTCTCTCTTTCTCTTTCTGAGCTTATGCTTTTAATTTCACGATCCCTACTTCCTTTTCCTCCATACTATTTATCCTGCCTCTTCCTCGTCCTCCATCTCTTGCCGGTGTGACTCTTGTATCATTCCCTGCCCGGTTTCCTCGCTTGATTGAATAGCCGTTGCTACTTCCAACCGCAAATCATTAGCTATACCTCCCTAGCTTCATATAAGCTCGGCTCTTCTAGGAACGCCCAAATATCCTCGGCAGTGACCCACGAGCCTTGTCTGGAGATTTTTAAATAGGAAAGCTCATCAACGGCACCTGAAGGACATTCAATTGCTCTGTTCAGCACAATTAAGCTTTCAAGATGCCTAGAGACGGCAGTAAACAACCGCCCTCGGCGGCAACAAACCTCATCGGTTCGTCTTGCCTTTTCTCTCATGGCCCTCAATTGGGATATCATGAGCTTCAAAGTTGTATTTGGCTAACATGATCTCATTGTTGCAGCTGGTGGTGGCGCCGGTATGATGGAAGCTCTCGCCTGCCACCCTCTAGGTATGTCTACCTCGTATAAGCAATTGCCAACTAAGAACAAGATGTTAACACCCAACATATAGACACAATCAAAGTGCGAATGCAGCTCTCTCGTCGTGCGCGAATGCCTGGTGCTCCCCGCCGCGGCTTCATCAAGACTGGTGTGGAGGTTGTAAAAAAGGAAACTCCCCTCGCTCTATACAAGGGCCTCGGTGCCGTCATGACGGGCATTGTCCCTAAAATGGCTATCCGATTCACATCATTTGAATGGTATAAGCAGCTCCTCGCCGATAAAACCACCGGCACCGTCTCAGGCCGAGGAACATTTCTGGCTGGTCTTGCTGCTGGTGTGACAGAAGCCGTGGCCGTCGTGACACCCATGGAGGTCATCAAGATCCGCCTGCAGGCGCAACATCACTCAATGGCCGATCCACTGGATATTCCCAAATACAGAAACGCCGCGCATGCTTTGTATACTGTCGTCAAGGAGGAAGGTTTTGGAGCGCTATACCGTGGAGTCAGCTTAACAGCATTAAGACAAGGCTCCAACCAGGCCGTCAACTTCACGGCATACTCTTACTTTAAGCAGTGGCTTAAGGACTACCAGCCTCAGTATACCGACGGTAACTTGCCTAGCTGGCAGACAACCATCATTGGTCTCGTGAGTGGCGCCATGGGTCCTCTCAG